AAAAAGTAGACATTGCTGTTTGAAATCGAATAAAAGATGTTTGAGGGCGTATGTTGGGCTCCACGTGGTTGTTTTCGTGCTCTCTGTACATGGTGGCGCTCCAAGCGCTAGCGGCCGTTGACAGAACTAAACACCGGAAAGCGTACTACTTAATTTCTCTGCTCATAGGAGACCTAGTATGTAATTGCAATTTTTACCATTGTATAAGAAATACTAGAGTCTCTGAATATTCTCTCTCAAACTTATGCATCAAAATTAACGCTCCATTTTTCATCACATTCCAATATCACAATGAAACGACTTACTTAACCGGGGGAAAAGAAGTTTCACCTCAAAAATCTGTTACATGATTGTAAATATAAATACGATATTAATAAATCAGTTAAAAACAGTTTAACTTTTAACTACGTATTTTCATTCTATGTCTTGGCGCATTGGCGTAGTTTGGGGCGGGGGTCCGCCCCCAGGTAACACCATTTTAGAGATGACACCAATGAAAAAAAAATAACTGGAATTATATCATTTTAATGATTTATTCAACAATTGTAGATTTTGATGAAATTACAGAATAGTTTGCCTCAATTAAATCTCGAAAAGTGTGGTTATAAAAAAATTGTGCATTTGTTAATTACTAACACTTCGTTTTAGATTATTTATTTAAAAATTATGTTTCAATTATTCCGAATTACATACAGTTTTGTAATAATATAATAAATAAATATCATGTGCAAATAGACTTGAATTTGTATTGAAATAATGTATAAACTCTTCAGTAACAGATATTTTTGTATTTAATTTATGGGTTAGTGATACCATTAATTTCACCCCGAATGACACCAACTGAAACTATGCAACTTGCTCGAGGGCCAGTCGGCTATCGGATTCATAGCTTTATAGAATGCTGGGGTCGCGCCCACCCCTCCGCTCATTCCCGCGCCATGACGCGGCTGACACGTGTCGCCGCGAGCGTGCCGTGCGTGCACTACACGCCGCCGTTGCCGTCCGTGTGCGTACTCGCGCACGTGACTCGTGTGCGGGTCATCAGGCACGCTGGCACGTGAGGTGCCTACTCCCCCGGGTCGTGGATGGCACCAGCGGGATTAATTTGTTGACCTGTGTTTAGCAAATCGATTCGTAATTGCCTCTACATGCGCGTTAGTGCCACATTGTGGGCCGAGTTACAATGCCATTGTTTAACTAAATAAACGCCGTGTATTTTATGTATTTTTACGAAATTTGCTATTTTATTCGCCACCAATTTAGGCATTACGGCTTTTACTTAATTCATCTCTAGCGACTGTGACAATCAGTGAACGATTTGTATCGTAGTATTAATGGGTTAAAAAGTATTTGCCTTTTGAAATGTGTTAGCCAGACACATGTTCGCTAATATGCTTCCAGAAGATATGGTGGCTGTTTAACTTCGAGGTTGCAAGTAGTTGCAACTTTTCACACATTCTGTTTCGAACTTTTAATCACCAAATTAAATAACGTGACTCCTCGAGCTACCACATTGATAAAATGAAAGAAATATTGGATAAAGAAGTTTTTTAAATATAATGTGGCATATTTTCTCCATAAAACATCCTTTACAGAAATTTCAATGCTTAAGGTTTCCAGGGGACGGTCTTAAACTATTTATACATTATATTTTCATAAAATGGGAAATTACAGAGTAAAGTGAAAAACATTTCCATGTTTTTCACGTTACCCTGAGAAATATTTCAATGTTTTTTTTTACTTTATTATGTAATTCCTCAACAAGCATGGAAAATACCTGGTCATGTTGAATGCATCTATAATATTTGTTACTAAAAATGTTCAAATATTAGGTTTTATAAAATTGAAATGTTTACTTTTTCCATACTTTTTAACTGTGGACTTTCACTAACTATTAATGCCCAAAACGTGGTAATGGCATTATCAATTTTCTCACAACGCATTGCGACTCCACTTCAAGACATTTTAAGGAAACTGAGATGTAGACGCAAGATGTTAATTACAGGTGAAATGTTGCAATGTCAACATGACACTCAGATAAAATAACTGTTGAATTTTATAGAAAGCTCAGTAGTTTTAATTGATGTATCTAATTATTTTGATATTTATTGTTTGCCAATAACAAGAGTGCACTTAAATTTGAAAGACAGACTATTTTCAAAATCTGGTATTTGGCGAATAATCTCCAATTTCATTCAGGTGTGCTATATTATATGTCAAGTAGAAACTTTCCTTTTTAATTTAGGCGTTCTAGTTTTCCTGGTTCCTGGAACTTGTGTTTACGCGAGGAGCAGGTTACAGTCTGAGCGCATGAGCACTCGTAAAGTAAGGAAGAGAAAGTTGTTTTTCCTATTTTGTCAAATGTAGTGAATAAAGCCTCTTCTCCACATGTAGATGCTCTTCTACTTATTTTTTACTGATTATTAAACATTATTATTCACAATATGATAATGACCAGTAACTTAGGTCTTATGTACTAAAGACCGGAAAGAGAGAGGAAATGAGAAACCAAATAAACGTATTAATAATTTTGAATGAAGATTATACTACAGAAGTTGTAAATTTAACAAATACGCTTTAGTCAACTTACAGTATACAATATACCATTTTTCAGAATGGAATATCAATCGTCTTAGTCATATTTCATCTTTAATTGATGAGTCAACGAATTTCTAGCAGGTTGCAGGTGAAGAGAATATTGAAAAGTTAACCTTGAACGTGGTAAGAATCCGTGTCCGAATGCCATCGTCCAGCAGAAGCCGCTAAACTAGCTGAGTCGCTCCTGAACCAGCCGCGTCGCACAGGTGGACGACGGGGAACGTTTCTTCAGCTATCTTTATGTGCATGGATCCCTTCCTCTTTGACTTTTTACGGAGGCGGAAGTGAACGAACATGTCGGACCATTTATCATTTTTCTGAAGAGTGAAGTTATGATATAAATTTGGAGAGATTGGGCATTCCAAATTAATAAATGTTTGTTTTAAACATTTAATCAATTTCACTATCAATTCTTCTGCAGTATTATCTTAAAATTCTGGAGAAAAGAGCGTGGAAACTCATAATATTTGCAATTCATGTTAGGAAAAAAGTGGAGGGAGCAATGCAGAGTGGTAAAAAGGTCTAGAAAAGGATACATGAATACTTTTTTCGTGGATGGTTGGATGTTAAAGGTGTTTAATAACATCGCCTCCAGAAATATCAAATACTTTTTGAAGCAAAAAACACGAAGTACGTCTTATATGATGGACAATACGTGGCCATTATAATACAATTACCTTAAATTTAAAGAATTGTTGAAATTGTCTCTATTATTTGGTCGTCATATTAAAATCCAGTGACGTGAATAACACGTGGATATTGCCCTAAACAAATACCAACTTGTATAATGTTGAATTTATTCGATTATGTTTGCCATTCGTCTTACTTTGTGGGTCGTGTATTTGTTTACTATCTGTGCCATCATGAGTAGTTGCTGGATCCGCAGAGAAAACAAAATGCCAAGGCAAATGGCCTCCGTGTTTCAACCAAAAGTTCCTCCCCCTCAATACATATACAGGTCATGCAGAAAATCCTACAGTAGTTAAGTTGAATTAGGAGTAATACATTTCTCGTTTTCAATTAAAACTAGTGGAATACACGGCATACCAATTTTTTCCCTCTAGTTGCTCCTCTAAGTGCCATTACTCAACATCCTCTCAAATAAAAAAAAACATGGCATCATTTAAATATCTAAAATTCAGGGATACGTATCAGTGAGAAAGAAGACTCTGGCTTTAATATTGGACATATAGGACAGGTTCAAAAACAAAATTTTCAAAATTTCAGGGTTTGTAATGAAAATCGGACCTATATCATGTATATAAATACAATTCTGCTATTCGAGCGAAACAAATCGAAAACTATTAACAATCAACCACTATTAGCAACAACGTTTTCTTTAACATTTTGAAACCTTTACAAGGGCCAAAAAATATTTTATGACGTATTTAAGAAGCTCAAAAGCTTCCAATCTTTCCGCATTATTCGTGACATGCACTTTGATCCAACCATCAAACCCCCTTACAGACATCCCAATTTTCGGGCACAAAATTGCAGTATCTCCACCACATGTTCACAATATCAACCACATTTTGAACAACATTAATAGACCTCAATTCTGACGTTTGTATGATGTTTCTGTTTGAAAGAATCTTAATCACATTTTACGTCCGAAAATTCGAGATTGTATTGTTGACGTGATTCCAATACATTTCGTGGACGCGAGGTGTCCTGGAGACAGTCGCCCCAGCTGCCCCGATTTCTGGACGCCACTACTTCATCTCCAAGCAGTCGCTCGGTGCAGTTGGCGCCTGGTGACACTACACTGTATGATCAAGCGTATCCGGACACGTGGCTGAAAATGATTTACAAGTTCTTGGCGCCCTCCATCGGTAATGCTGGAATTCAATAGGGTGTATGCTGCTATTAGCCTTGATGACAGCTTCCACTCTCGCAGGCATACTTTCAATCAGGTGCTAGAAGGTTTCTTGGTGAATGGCAGCCCATTCTTCACGGAGTGCTGCACTGAGGAGAGGTATCGATGCAGGTCGGTGAGGCCTGGCACGAAGTCGGCGTTTAAAAACTTCCCAAAGATGTTTGATAGGATTTAAGTCAGGACTCTGCAGGCCAATCCATTACAGGGATGTTATTGTGTTATTGTCGTGTAACCACTCCGCAACTGGCCGTGCAGTATGAGGAGGTACTCGATCGTGTTGAAAGATGTAATCGCGATCCCAGAATTGCCCTTCAACAGTGGGAAGCAAAAAGATGTTTAAAACATCAACGTAGGCCTGTGAAGTGATAGTGCCACACAAAACAACAAGTCCCCTCCATGAAAAACACGACCACCCCATATCACCATTTTGGACGTGCCCGGATACTTTTGATCTCACTGTGTATTTGTTTGCGGTCCGCAGAATCGCGCAGCCGCTGCTGCTGGGCCGCCTCATCCAGTACTTCAGCGAGGACTCGGAAATGACCCTGGGGGAGGCTTACGCGACGGCGGGGGGCATGGTGGCCACCGTGTACTTCCTCATCTGCTTCCAACACCACTACACCATGGGCACCGCGCTCATCGGCATGCGCGTGCGCGTCGCCTGCTGCTCTCTGCTCTACCGCAAGGTACGTGGGACCAATTGAATTGAATTGAATTGCATTGAATTGAATTGCATTGTATTGCATTGTATTGTATTGCATTGCATTGCATTGCATTGCATTGAATTGAATTGCATTGTATTGCATTGTATTGCATTGTATTGCATTGTATTGCATTGCATTGCATTGTATTGAATTGCATAGGATTGCATTGAATTGCATTGCATTGCATTGAATTGCATTGCATTGCATTTGAACTGCATTGCATTGCATTTGAATTGCATTGCATTGAATTGCATTGCATTGAATTGCATTGCATTGAATTGCATTGCATTTGAATTGCATTGCATTTGAATTGCATTGAATTGCATTTGAATTGCATTGAATTGCATTGCATTGAATTGAATTGAATTGAATTGATGCCTTATTTTACGTGACGAGACAGGCCTGCTCTTCCGTCTGACCACGCAAATTTCGCTACGCTCCTTTCACCAACTAGAGAAAGGATGTATTTGTTGGGCGAGAAATAGGCGATTTGAATTTAGCTCAGAGGCGTCATTTAGGCTTGAAGATCTTTTACATGCAAGTATATCTACTAACATGGGACAGCCGGCTTTACTTCCCCTCCGAAGGAAGGCGTACGAAGGATTTTTTCGCCCTTAAAAATTCACTGCTTCAATCGGCTTTGAACCAGCCAACTTGGGTACAGACGCCAACCGTTACCCCATCGCCGCGCGCAAGATATGCCTTGCTCATCTAGATTGTCAATTTTACTACTTCTAATCCGTCCACAAAACCAATACTCAGCAGAGCTTTTTGTTTCTAAATAGGATATGTTGTTGTATTCCTTCCAAAAGAGGTATAACACTGTTAATTGATGATAACAAATTGACAAGAGAAGGATAGATCATATTGAATTAAAATAGGTTTTTGAACTAATATTAAGAGAAAATGGTATACATATAGTATTAACGTAAATTTGCCTTTTGCTTTAGCGGCAATTTTGTTGAATTTTGAGGATAGGGAATTCGAGACATAGTATGGGGCGTTCGAGTAAGGAGAGTTGTTGAAAAAATGGATAAATTTGTAACATTTCTGGACAAACACACAAGCCACGATTTGCGCCACTTATCTTCCCCTCCCCTGTCCAATTGTAATGTCTCAATTGTGAGAGTTTCACAATTACGTTTTCATCGATTTCCCTTCGATTGCTTCTTTGAGAAATAATGGTCATTCTCAACAACCAAATAAATAACTATTTAATTCCAATACTTCTGCCTATAGTTCACAATTTGCAACTTATTTAACACTTTGAAGTTATATATTTCTAATGTTCCTAGCATAACACGCATACATTTGCATAAACCCCTCATTCCCATAAATCTGCCAATCTTTCGAACTTGTCTCCGTGACCTTGCAATGCGTTCTGCTTATTTATTTAGGATTTTCTATCAAAATACCCCATTGCCCCCGACAACCGACAATGATAACCCGCTGTCTTAAATGATCGTCTTGAAAAGTAACACCCCGTTGCTACATGGAGACAAGGGTGGTTTATGGTACTGTGGTATATATACATACATACAAATGACAACGGTAATCCGCTACGTTACACTATCCTTACTCTTTTCTTAGCTTTATTCACAATGCAAACTTGATCGTAAACATATCGTAGCCGCAAAACCTAGAAATGAGTTAAAGTGAGACCATTCACAACGACTTGACGTAACCGTAGACGTAAAGCCGTAAATTAAGAGTTGACAAGCATCAAGCTTTTACGTGTTGTTTACGTCGGAATTTCACCGACGACCAATTTGAGAGCAGCGTTAAAGAAGCAAACATTGATTGTGTTCAGGAAGTTTGTGGTTATGTCTTTTCGTTACTGATGTGTACTTAAGTAGTTCGCGAACTGTTTTGACGCGAGTAGTGAATTCAGAGTAAGAATTTGGGCATTTTTTCTTGTGACTTGAACTTGATGTGACGAATAAAATAATAACGTCCGACGTACCACTCATGAATTTGGTACAAGAGAATCCTTGTTTATAAAGTAAAGGAAACGCTAGCACTAATACAACAGCTACTGGCATTTAGGTATAAAGACAAATTGACAGGGAAATCGAAGAGAAAGCTAGAAACCTCGGTGAAAAGATCTTTCTATCATGCTAGAAACGAATCGACAATCGATCAAGCTTCAATACGTTGAAATATTTTGGCTCAGGCAAAACTTAAATTCGTCATTGTGAATGCTTGTTGGTTGTAAATTTTACAGTTAAGTTGACGGTACTACGTTACGTTCAAGTATGCATTGTGAATGAGGCCTTTCACACGCAATATTACCCATGTTGGGACACACATCTTGAGTGTAGATCTTTTCCAGGCTTTGGCGGTGTCCTACTGGAGGGAGAAACACGGATTGAGAAATCCCCATCGACATGTCGGTCATCTCCGGTCCTCCTCCTCCTTTGTAATAAACATACACTACACTTACGGTATAAACTAGGATATTAGTGGACACGCTGGGAAACACGAAAAAGTGAATCTCCCTTGCATCTATGTCGAGCGAGAGTATTGCGCGCCCAGCGCACGCGTCCTGTAGGGGTCAATACCCTTTTAAGAATTTTCTTGTAAATTCATAAATTCAATATCATTCCAATGTGTTTCGCGGCATTGTGAACGACATAGCCTGATATCACGCATGGTTCCACCCCACCCTTCCGTTTCAGACTAGTCGGGCGAAGGGCCGAGATAAACAATACGGGGAAGTCAGATGTAGATTTCTCGAGTAATGAAAATATGAACCGCAACCGTAATAAAGGTTTTAGTTTTGGCCTTTGAGGCCCTGGAATTTGAACGTACTGTTCTAGCAGTAAAGCGTTGCCTTGACGCTCAAACCTACTGGCCTTGCTGAAGCACCCGCAAGTTAATATATTTACTCTCTTTAACTATTTCGCTCATTCTTTCTCTCTGCAGGTGCTGCGCCTGTCGCGCGCTGCCATGGACCAGACGGCCACCGGCCAAATCGTCAACCTGATGAGCAACGACGTGTCCCGCTTCGACCTGGCCCCGCAGTACCTGCACTGGTTCTGGATCTCCATCATCCAGGTGCCCATCGTCACCTACTGCTTGTGGCGCTACGTGGGGCCCGCCGCGCTTATCGGCTTCACCTTCATTTTCTTCGTTACCATTCCCGTGCAAGGTGAGTCGCTTCCACTGGAGGTTTCTTTGCTTCTTGCCAGCTGCGTCCTAGAGCGGCTCCTGAAACTCATCATGTCGCGTTAGCGCTGGATCGAGCAGTGTTTTGTAACAAAGTAAAGAACTTTTCACAAATTTGTTACAAAAAGGCTCTATTGCAGTATCATCTTGTTGATCTGTTGGCAAATCGGTTCGTCACGGACTAGGAGGCCGTACTGTTTGTGAGGCGTTAAATGAGCCATTAGTGCTGTAGAGGGGCGATCAGGGGAATGACTAGACAAACGGCGCTGCCATCGATAGTACTCCCATACCTGTCGCTACCGCCGCTTCCTCCGCCACTGCCTCCTTTTCTTTCTCCTTCACCTTCTCCGTCTTCTTCTCTTTCTCCTCCTCCTCCTCCTTCTCCTTCTTTTCCTCCTCCTCTTTCTCCTCCTCCTTCTCTTCCTCCTACTCCTCCTCCTTCTTCTCTTCTACCTCCTCTTCCTTCTCCTCTTTCTCCTTATCCTCCTTCTCTTTCTCCTCCTTCTCCCCCTCTTCTCCTCCTCCTCCTCCTTCTCGCTCTCTTCTCCTCCTCCTCCTCGTCCTCCTTCTCCTTCTCTTCCTTATCTTCCTCCTCCTCCATCTTCTCCTCCATCTTCTCCTCCTCCTCATCCGCCTCTGCCTCTTCTGCCGTCACCACCTCCGCCTCTGTCACCGCATTATTCCTTTCCTCCTCCTTACTCACCGCCTCCGGCTCCGCAGCCTCCGCCTCCTCCGCCTGCGGCTGCGCACGTGCGCGTCTTCTCCCCCCGAGTGCGCGCCAAGGTCCGCGCCAGCGGCGGCGGGGCCCACGAGCGACGAACCCGACGGCGGCAGCGGCGGCGGCGGCGGCGGCGAAGAGGAGACAGGCGGCCTTGCCTGGCGCGTTGCATATGCGCGCGCGGCCCGCCGCGCCTCAAGGCCCCCTGGGGTCGGCGCCTCGCGCGCCTCGTTCCCACGGGACGCCGGCGCCTCAGGCGATCTCGTTACGCCCAGATTGGAAGCTAATCCTGTTTACGGCACGGGGGGCGCGGATTTGCGTCAGGTCGCAGCACCGGTTACATCGCACCACGTGGCCACGCCTAATCGTGATTCTAGGCGAAACATGCGGGTCGAACAATGAAACTCGCAATGTTTTAATCCTCACGTGAATTAGTGTTAACGTATTAGCTTGTGGGTGGTTCAGCAAGGCCAATAGTTGTGAGCGTCAAGGCAACCGCTTACGGCTAGAGGAGGTGTGTGTTCATTTTCCAGGGCCTCAACGTGTACAACTAAAACCTTTAATATGGTCGCGGGCTATATTTTCATTACTCTGGCGATTCAACCTGACTTCTCCGTTTTGTTGATGCCCGACTGGTCTGAAATGGAGGGGTGGGGTGGAACCATGCGTGATATCAGGCTATGTCGTTCACAATGCTGCGAAACACATTCGAACGATATTGAATTCCTGAATTTACTGGAAAAGACTCTTAATGGCGTGTTGACCTCTACAGGATGCGTGCGCTAGGTGCGCAATACTCTCGCACGACATGGATGCAAGGGAGGTTCACTTTTGACTTACAGCCTTGTGCAGGTCACAATAAAAGGTTCCGCGGGCCGCCAGTTGGTCTCATCTGGTTAGAGTGTCACAATGATTGGGAGTTTGCGGATTTGATCCCGGCAAGAGGCCAAAAAATTACTTGATGTGTTTAGTCGGAGAGTTTGGGGCGCCTGCCGGAATCTAATTCGTAGGACGGCTGCCCTGGTTACTGGTTTCCGTTATTGCGCTGAATAGTCCAGGCGAATGCCGGAGCAACACCCTGTACAACGAGGAGTTGTACAACGGACCGCGGGTAAGCTTTTTGCCTTCCCATCAAAATCATCGTCTTCTCCAGTCTGGGCTGGTGCGCCACGGGGAAGTACGCCTCGTTTCACCCCGTCATAACCCGCCTCGCGAACCCTGCATCTGATCGGGATTAACACTAGGGGAAAGTGTTTGAGTTTCAGTACGACAGTAGTTGTCAATTCTGGTCACTATCAATTTTCCATCTTCACGAAGATGTTTTTGAAGCGAGCATTAAATGTTTATTGATTGAGTTGCTAGCTGATACATTCTCTCCTTAACCGTTTAAAGGGGGAGTACCACTCATCCTCATTTACGATATCGCAAATGAAATATTTATTTCGTGTCCGTTTTCTAATTTGTTTTATAACGACAAAAGTTACAAATTATTTTAAAAAGTTTCCAACCTGCCGCTTGCGTTTCAAATGATAAGTCTTCACTTTGCCGAAAGTTACACTGAGAATATGAAAATTATTTTTTTAAACTGTAGAATTATTATTTTATTCGAAATGAACTAATTTTAATAGTTGTTGGAAATTATTTGTCATTTTCCATTTCATTATCAAAATAATTTCATTCTCGTCTCCTTCATTGTTTCACGATTTAGCACATTAAGAACTTCTAGAACGTTTCAAAGCATGATGCATGCAGGAGAGATAATAAATATATGGCAATTAATTAATATCTCTTTTTCTCTCTCTCTTTCATTGTCTGGGAATAAGTTATTTGGATTTCTTCGGATAAAAGGTGTTCTTACGGTTTGTTGGGTCGGAAACAATAATCAGCGGTGCAGAAGATATTTGAAATGTCATGTTTTATCCGAAATTAATGATTCTGAAGAAACTGGTACTGAATCTGCGCTACAGAGTATAGTCACGTCATTGAAGAAATTACATTCACTTTTTTTGGGTTATATACAACCAATAAATGCAAACTTAACGTCTACCCTCAAAGTGCATAAGTATTTATTTCCTTGCCAGGTTAATTATTAAATGGTTTTCCTACACTCTAAAACTATAACTGATTTACTATCTACGGTAGCAGTTGATAGACAGTTTGCAGAAACATTAAAAACAAATCGCAAATATTAAACATAAAGCATTAGCAACATGTATTACTACAAATGATTCAATATTGTATAGCTCACGTTCTACTATTTGTAGAAAGTACAGTTAATTAGGCAACCATTCTGAGTATGATCTTAAATAACTCGAATTTCTGTCTCTGTAAGCATCGAACATTACATTCAACTGAATATGAATATTTATATGCATGTTCTACAACTATGATATGTACAACTCTAAAATATATTTAAAGAGTTTCTCAAGCATTTCTGTGATTTCGTAACCACTAGAGAGAGTAAATACGGTGACCAGCCTAAGCCAGACTGGAATGCGTAAAGCGTATTTACATATGCGAAGGCCATTTCCAAAAAGAAACCTTGTGTTCTGCGTTTTAAAATGTTTTTTCTGAAGGACACAAAAGGATAACTCAAAATAACCAATTTTTCAGAGATGTATATAAAATTACAAAATGTACAAATAATATTTTTTATGTGCGGTGGGTAATTGAGTAGTTTAATAAGAGAGACGTAGAACATATCTTTTAGCATTTTTAACCAGCAAAAACATCAGTTCAAGAGCACGTAATCTTGAATTTTGGAGGTACTGCCTTTTTGCTCCACAGCATTAAGAGTTTGTATCGCATTAATAAAAGAAAACTATGCATAAGAAACTAAATTTCTTTTTTATTTAATAATATGTATAAATGCGAGAATAACGAAAAATATTTTAGCATAGTAAGTCATTATAACTCTGCATACAGGTTGTATAATTGTTTGTTGATGACATTTTTGGCCTCTTATTGCAAAAATAAAGAAGAATATTGGTCTCATAGGTCTTCCTGCAACTTATGAATCACCTTCCCTCACACTTCAGTATCACTACGTATACTCTCCATCAGTATGCTTTTGTCCTGGTTCTGCTACGTGGTTCTGTTATGAATAGAATTTCTATTCTTGCCTGCTGCACTATAATTTTCATAGTATTATTTAAATAACTCTCAAATATTCATACAATTGATTGAGGATTGTTTCATATGACGAAACAGTGTTTCTGAATGCTTCTGAAATAATTTATTTGTTTACATTCTATGTTAATTCGTTCCTTCACATGCATTGCAAATTGAAACCACATGCACTATTTACATATCTACTTCAGTATTCTTATGAAAACAGGACGATTTCTCTTGAAATCTGAATGTCTCAACCAGACCTCATTCACTGAAAGAGTCGTGGACATTCATTGATTAAACTGTTCCATGACTATGGCAATTATTCTCGAAATTCTGTGTGCTAACCACTTTTTAACGTATGGAGGCCATTAGCACTCGCACTCGCAACCGCAACGTACGACAAAGGCAGGGGATTTCTTGGAAAGCTTCTTTGAGCTTTCTCTGAACGCTATCGTCACACGCGAGGGAGAATCTCACCAGCTCGTCGCAATGTAGTGGCAAGGCCGGTCGCTGTGCGAGGTGTGTCGGAGATAGTAGCGACGGCAGAGGCGGCGGCGGCGGCGGCGGCGGCGGC